CCAGTGTCTGTGTCCCCATTTCTACCAGTGTCCCAATGTCCCAGTGTGTCCCCATGTCACTAGGATACTGGGGACACTGAGAGACATGGGGACACTGAGAGACCCGGGGACACAGAGAAATGGGGACACTGGGAGACATGGGGACACTGAGGCATTTAGGGAAACTGGGAGAAATGGGGACATTGAGACACTAGGGACACAGACACTGGGAGACATGAGGACACTGAAACATTTGGGGACACTAAGACACTAGGGACAAAGACATGGGAACACAGACACTGGGAGACTAGGGGACACTGGCTGGGAGACAGGCACTTGGGGACACTGGGAAACATGGGTACAGTTGTGGACATAGACATGTGGACACTGGGACATATAGGGACACTGGGAGACATGGGGACACCAGGCACACTGAGACACTAGGAACACAGACACTGGGAGACTAGTGGACACTGAAACATTTGGGGACACTAAGGACACAGACACTGGGAGACTAGGGGACACTGGGAGACCAGGGGACACTGGGAGACTAAGGGACACTGGCTGGGAGACAGTTGTGGACATAGACATGGGGACACTGGGACACATGGGGACACTAGGCACACTGAGAGACATGGGACACCGACACTGGGAGACTTGGGCACACTGAGACACTAGGGACACTGGCTGGGGGACATAGTGTCTCCGTGTCCCAATGTCTCCCAATGTCCCTATGTCTCACAGCATCCCCATGTGTCTCAGCATCCCCATGTGTCCCAGTGTCCCCTAGTGTCTCAGTATCCCCATGTTTTCCAGTGTCCCCAGGTCTCCCAGTGTCTGTGTCCCCATGTCCCCTAGTGTCTCAGTGTCCCCTAGTGTCTATGTCCCCATGTGTCCCCGAGGGTGTCCCCTAGTGTCTCAGTGTCCCCTAGTGTCTCAGTGTCCCCATGTTTTCCAGTGTCTCAGTGTTTCCAGGTCTCCCAGTGTCTGTGTCCTAGTGTCTCAGTGTCCCCTAGTGTATGTGTCATCATGTGTCCCCTAGTGTCTGTGTCCCCTAGTGTCTCCAGTGTCCCCATGTTTTCCAGTGTCCCCAAGTGTCTCAGTGTTTCCAGGTCTCCCAGTGTCTGTGTCCTAGTGTCTCAGTGTCCCCTAGTGTATGTGTCATCATGTGTCCCCTAGTGTCTGTGTCCCCTAGTGTCCCAGTGTCCCCATGTTTTCCAGTGTCCCCAAGTGTCTCAGTGTTTCCAGGTCTCCCAGTGTCTGTGTCCTAGTGTCTCAGTGTCCCCTAGTGTATGTGTCATCATGTGTCCCCTAGTGTCTGTGTCCCCTAGTGTCTCAGTGTCCCCATGTTTTCCAGTGTCCCCAAGTGTCTCAGTGTTTCCAGGTCTCCCAGTGTCTGTGTCCTAGTGTCTCAGTGTCCCCTAGTGTATGTGTCATCATGTGTCCCCTAGTGTCTGTGTCCCCTAGTGTCTCAGTGTCCCCATATGTCCCCTATTGTCTCAGTGTCCCCATGTGTCCCCTAGTGTCTCAGTGTCCCCATGTGTCTCAGTGTCCCATATGTCCCCTAGTGTCTCAGTGTCCCCATGTGTCCCTGCTGCCTTTCCCCCCATCCCTCACTTACCTGAGCTGTAGAGCTGCTGTCTGGACTCTGTGCTGTGTAGCTGCTCCCCCATAGATCAGTGAGTAGTAGAGAGAGGCAGGGATATTCTGTAACTTCCTATCCCTGACTCTCTCCACACACAGTGACCCCTACTGGCCGGTGCTGGTATTGCAGAGTAATTTACATTTATTCTGAGAAAATTACCTGCATTTTGTATTACTGCAATACCGGCACGGCCAGGCAGCCTCAAATACCGTCTGTGCCATTAAAATACCAGTCAGGAGGCAAACCTAAGAGTAGTGTGTAAAAAAAAAAAAAAATTATTATTATTTTTTTATTTTAATGGGCCTATTCCATGGGCCTGGGCCTGGAGCTGCAGCTCCATCAGCCCCTATGTTAATCCGGCCCTGCCTGTTACTCCCTCTGGCTTTCCAAATTCGAAACCTTGTTCTTGCAGTTTTTTCACTCTTGTTACGCTTAACATGAATTGTAACCTTTCTCCCTATTCCATTAAAATATTGGTTACCAAATATTTGGTGGACTGTGTGTAGTTAGTGATTGTTATTAGGACATTATTTATGGGTTGGATACGACCTAAAGTACATTAATCAAAGAACAAAAATACATTGTTCCCACCAATGTGAGAAGTCAATTAAATATAACTAGATGTCTTCTGCTGCAGCTACTGTTGTGCTGCACCTCTGATGATTATACACTGGTGCTGTGACAGCTTTCCTAGAGAATGCTAGTGTTTCACATCTTTTGTTGTCTCTGTTGGTGATGTTATTTCATGTGACCAGAAGCAAGGAATTGTGCTGGAAGGAGTCTATATATCTCCCCAGATTTTGCAAGGTTCCTACTTTGTGTAATTAGCCAGGGAAATGTGTTGTGTTAAAATTAATATTGCACTTTATATATGTGTATGTTTGGGCCCTGGGGTGGAGCACTTGGAGAGTAGGGTGGGCCAGTGCTCCACTCCACATTTTGGAGGTTGCATGGAAACTGCAAGTGAGGAGTCCAGTTCCAGAGTTTTAACCCTGATTTACATCACCTGGAAAGGATTGTTTATTGCAGGTACTCCCCTGCCGAAGGAGGAGTAGAGATTGTGTGATTCCTGTGAGTGGAAACAGAGAGCTGAAAGAAAATAAAATGGTAAGGTGGATATTTATGTGTATTTATGTTGGGAAATTGACAAGCCTTCCAACCCAGTTAGTTTATCATTTTGTTAAGTTAGTGCTCAGAAGAGCAAGGATTTTGTTTTCTCTATTTTGTTACACCTTACTGCACATTGTTAAATTTTTGAACCACAATAAAAAGAGCAAGTCCTTTTACCTTATTCAGCGTGTGAAGTGTCTCTGAAGCCTGAAAAGACTGTGTGTAACACCCTAACCCCAGGACAAGGTACCAAAGGAAAGGAGTACTTTTGTCACTATATATATATATATATATATATATATTAAGGCAATTTGGCCTGTAATTGTGGGAGGTGCTTGTTATCCCCTCCTGGCCTACTTAAGGAACACCCCTTACCTTGCTCCTTACCGTTCGAGGTCAGCGTTGAATGAGGATCCACTTCCGGGTTCTCTCAGATGCCATCTTGGTTTTCACTATCCACGAGTATTTCCGCGGCAAGCTGTGTCCAGGAATCCTTTTACAGGCCTTTCTGTCCGTCCAGCCTCTCCTGACCAGGGTCATCATCGTAGATCGCATCCCAGGGACTCCTAAATCGTAAGTTAGACCTACCTGTGACGCCAAGATCGGTTCCCACGGCGTCCGGTACAGAATGGGTCCTCGCTTTACGTTTTTTCCCTGTTATGTTGCAAATTCAACAAGCCATTCGCGGAATCATTTCGGGCAGTATTCGGCTAATCTCAGTATGTTAGTTAAAGGTTGTCATTTCGCCTAAAGCTGTTCCGTGTTTTCAGCGAAATAAGCGATATTTTCGGTTGTTTCGCCTTTCGGCACTTGTTCATGATATGCTTAAGCACACTTACCTGTTCGCATAAAATTTCATACGTATAAACTGTTCGTTTCAGTTTCTGTTTTCCCTTGCCATATGGTTTTCGGTTTTCTTGCTAAAATGTATTTTGCATAAATCCTTTCGTGGATTACATTCATCATTTCATGTATATACCATTCGGTTAAACTATTTGCTTTGCTTAATAGATATAGATTAATTCTATTACTGTTTAAAATTATTAGAATTGTATTGGTTTCCATAACAAACCAGCTCACATATCTGTATGGATCATTTGACTCCCATGCTTTCAGGGGTTTTCCATACTTATCCATTTCAGTCAAGTTTTGTTCAGCCTAAAGTTACAAGCCTCATTTCTGTGTTTTAAACTACAACACAACAGATACATAAGGATACGGTTTCCTTTTCCAAGTAATGAATTCTCGAGTTGAATCACACGTACTGATCCAACCAATCATACATTCTTTACATTACAGTAACATTATATACAACTTTACATCATCACTTTAGAGAATTGTTTTCATCCCTGCCCCTTTTTGTCGTTAAAGGACCACTCTAGGCACCCAGATCACTTCAGCTTAATGAAGTGGTCTGGGTGCCAGGTCCAGCTAGGGTTAACCCATTTTTTCATAATTATGAATGGGTTAAGCCTTCCCCCTAATCCTCTAGTGGCTGTCTCATTGACAGCCACTAGAGGCGCTTGCGTGCTTCTCACTGTGAAAATCATTGTAAATGCTTTCCTATGAGACCGGCTGAATGCGCGCAGCTCTTGCCGCACGTGCGCAATAAGCCGGCGGGGCAGATCGGAGGCGGAAAGGAGGAGGAGAGCTCTCCGCCCAGCGCTGGAAAAAGGTAAGTTTTTACCCCTTTCCCCCTTCCAGAGCCGGACGGGAGGGGGTCCCGGAGGGTGGGGGCACCCTCAGGGCACTAATTCCAGGAAAACGAGTATGTTTTCCTGGCACTATAGTGGTCCTTTAATTATATATCAGCACAGCGCATTTACATATAGGCCACGGCCTCCCCCGCCCCCTCCTCTTTTCTCACTTGACACCCATCATACATCCCCCCTGTTTCTAGACAGAATGTTGGCATTAAAAGACACTGCGTCACCTGGCCTTTGTAGCACATTTATGTTGTCATGGTATTTACTACACTTTCCTGGCATTTACCAATTAAAACTCCACAATCAAACCCTTAAAAAAACACCTCTGGTACGGGCTACACAGTCTACACCATTCCCACACAGACCACACTCACTATGTTACCTTTTTTACCCGTTTCAGGCTGTCCAGGTTTATATATTTCACCACACGAATTCGCTGTGAGATATTTCATACTACCAGGTACGTACGCCTGCTCATATGGAATTCTGACAAATATTTCATCCCCCCCTCCCCAGGTTAGAGTACTGGCAATAGGGTCACAGGCTCCCCAATAGGTATTTACACCTTCTTGGCATTTGCCATCGGTTAGTGGTCCCGCGAGGCCAACACCCCGCCTCAACGTTCGGAGGCAAACACCCATCGGGCCACGCGTGAGCTAGTCGCCTCGCATGTCACATAGAGAGGGCCTCACCTGTCACTCCTTTTCCCTGTTTTTCTGTGTTACAGTCACCGAGAGGCCTACAATCCTGCCACTACGACGGGTGGCCTCGAATCCCCTCGCGCCAACGCATAGATAGAGTCTCTCAGTTTTACTGGCCTTTGGTATTTACCGGGATGTCATCTGTGCAGTCTATCCCAATAGACGAGAGGAGTTTGATCTTTATATGCACAAGCTGGTAGACCTGAGCAAAAAATATGGTGCGTCAGCCTTCTATGACTACCATAGGTCTTTTTCTGCAAAAGTGTCTGGGGTCTTCTCCCAGTATGGAACAAGATCCAACTGGGGAAGGATTGATACAGTCATATTTTGCAGACACTTTGCAGGTCTAAGAACACCGGCTTGTGCATACTGCTCCTCTATGGCACATACGACAAATTTCTGTCCCAACATGGCGGACGAACATGCCTCCACTCAAGGAGCTAGTTCCTCTGGTGTTCCAGAGAAATTGACCAGAGACAAACTGGGACGCCCGATCAAGTTTCTGGGCAAGTCCCAGATATGTAATAATTTCAATGTTGGGTCTTGTAATAATAGCGGTTGTAGATTATTGCATATCTGTTTAAAATGTTTTAGGGCACATGCCAAAACCATCTGTCCAAATAAAATGTACTCTAAGCCTTACCTAACATCCATTAACATTTCGGTATTAACAGCATTTCTGTCACATCACCCGTCTAAACACTTGGTAGATTTCCTTATCTCTGGTTTAACAGAAGGCTTCCACAAGGGTATTCTACACATAGCGTCCGGGATTCTGGAATGCCCTAATCTACAATCCGCACTACACAACCCCACAGCTGTTCACACTCTCATAACCCAAGAAATTGCTGAGGGTTTCTTATTGGGGCTTTTCAAGTCTCCTCCGTTCAAAGAATGGCGCACCAACCCCATTGTTATTGTCACAGGGAAATCTTCCCTTAAACAGAGACTATTCATTGACCTGTCTGCACCACACTCATCTGTTAACCCCAGTCTCAATTCCCTCATACCCTCCGAGGAATTCTCCCTGCAATACACTAGCATAGATCACGCCATTACAGCTATCATACAAGCAGGGGTCGGAGCATGGCTTAGTAAGACCGATATTACTCACGCCTTTAAATTGCTGCCAATCACTGTGGCACCTGCATGGCATCAAGTGGTCCGGGAACTACTATTTTTTTCTCCCGTTTAACTTTTGGGTCCAAAAGTAGCCCGGCTATTTTCGACACATTTGCTGAAGCATTGTGCTGGTTACTATTGAACAAAGCCAGATGCCCTATGGTATTACCTTACCTGGATGATTTCTTACTGGTCAAGAAGAACACTTCCCCTCCCAGTAGCCTCAAAGCTACCATCAGTCTATTTGAACAGCTAGGGGTCCCAATCTCCCCAAAGAAAACCGAGGGGCCAGACACGATTATCACATTCCTGGGTATTCAATTAGACTCAACCACGATGCAAGCAAGCCTGCCACACGACAAGATAGGAAACATTCTGACCTACATCAACCACTACCTTCAGCTCGATACTTGCAACCGCAAAGAGCTACAGTCCCTGCTGGGTTCTCTAAATTTTGCCATGAGTATCATACCTCAAGGCCGCTCCTTCATATCACGACTCTTGTATCTATTTCCACTCTTCCTACACGACACACACAGGTTGTCCTTAGATACTCAAGCTACGGCAGACTTACGCATGTGGAAGAAATTTTTAACCACTTGGAATGGTAAAAGTATGTTCCTCCCTCAATTAACTGACTCATCACCTACCATTTGATCAGATGCGGCATCTACCACAGGTTTTGCAGCAATTTTTGAGAACGAATGGCTTTGGGGCAGCTGGCTTACAGCAGTTCAGGATTTGGAGGGTTTTTCCACTACCTCAGCTCTCTTTGAGATCTATCCCATCATGGCGGCTGCCGTAGCATGGGGTCATTTATGGGCATAACCAGGCAACCTGTCACATCATCAACAAAGATCGTTCCAAATCCCTTACGATCATGAGATTTCTGAGGAAACTCACTTGGTTGGCGGCTTGTCATAATTTCTTCCTGTATTGTTTCCATGTTCCAGGTATATGTAACACAGCTGCTGACAGTTTGTCTCGTTTTAAATTTCAGGCATTTCATCAAGCACTCCCGTCAGCTGCGCTCACAGCCACAACTACTCCAACATTTCAACAACTAATACTGGACTAGACACCATTATGCAACATAGCAGGGCACTGTCCCAATTGGCACTATCAAAAAATATGCACAAAACATGTTGTGGCGAAACCAACCTCGCCACTGTACACTGGAGAAGCCTGGTTGCTCGCCTGCTCCCTTTAGACTATGGTCCTGCATTTTAAACTTTTATTTTACCGGCAGAAAGGTTTATTCGTGCCTTTCTGCGGACTGTTAAAGCCATGCTACCCCAGATAGCTATGCCATGGAGCCCAGCCGTATACTGAAAGACTGTATGAAAGACTTTGGCTCCATGGCGATTGAACTGTATGTATGTGATCTGAGCGCCATTCGGTAGTAATGTGCACTCAGATCTAAGCTATCTGGGGATATGTAGAATGTATATGTTTTATGGAATAAATGTAACTGTATGTAATTTTATGTCTTTTATTGTCCTTTGTCTGCCATGTGGTTAATGGAGTTTTGCCTCTGTCCTTGGAGATAATTTGATTACTTCACAATTATCTCTAGGACAGAGAGGAGGGATTGTGATGTAATTGTGGGTGTGTTTTATGGTTCCCCTGTAACGATTGGTTGTAATGTGTCCCACCCTGTGGGATGTCCCCTTGCATGGGGACTTGCATAAAAGCCAGTGTGTGGGCATTACAGAGAGTTCCTGCTTAACCCTCAAAGTGAAGTGTCGTCTCATTATTGGGGGAGGATTTATTGTATGCTGTTCCAGTTTGACTGCTAGGAGTGTAAACCTATTAGCATGGTTTTCCTATTCAGCTGTATACAACATTCATATGCTTGAGAGCATTCAAATGCTCCTACGGTTCGGTGGTTTTGGTGTCTGCTGCAGTGCTTGGAGTCCTCAGGAAGTGCTAGGAGCATCCTTCAACGGAGGTACCCAGTCGGGGTTGCCAGGTGATTCGTTACAATTGGTGGCAAGCAACGGGATCATTCCCACAGCCCAGAAGGACAGCTACAAGGTAACACCATCCCCTGGACTTACAAATGGAGGGCAGCAGGGCAAGCATGGCACCCAGCTACACTCAGGAGCAGTATGACAGAGAATTTACCACGCGGATGGCTTTCTTTGGACCCAACCCCCCGGAGAGATGTGTGCAGCTTGTGAGGAGACATGTAGAAGAGTACCTGCAGGTCAGAGCAGGGCGGGCACGTAAGTTGGCAGGTTGGGAGAGTCCCCAGCGGCAGTGTGTGTCCCAGGGAGCTGAAGGTGTCGTCCTTCCTCCCCAGCGGCAGTGTGTGTCCCAGGGAGCTGAAGGTGTTGTCCTTCCTCCCCAGCGGCAGTGTGTGTCACAGGGAGCTGATGAAGGTGCCATCCTTCCTCCCCAGCGGCAGTGTGTGCCCTTAGGAGAGGAGACAGTTGGTCCCCCTCCCCAGCAGTTCAGTGAGTTACAGGGAGATGAAGGTGTCGTTCTTCCTCTCCAGCAGCAGAGTGAGTTACAGGGAGATGAAGGTGTCATCCTTCCTCCCCAGCAGCAGTGTGTGTCCCAGGGAGCTGAAGGTGCCGTCCTTCCTCCCCAGCGGAAGTGTGTCCTGCAGGAAGCGGAGACATTCGGTCTTGCGCCCCAGCAGCAGGACAATATATTAATAGGGGAGACAGTTGGTCTCCCCCTCCAACAGCAGAGAGAGTGTCAGGGAGAGGAGCTTGTTACTCCCTCTCCCCAGCGGCTGAAAGTATGTATGGGAGAGGAGCTTGTCATTCCCTCTCCCCAGCGACAAACAGTGGGTTAGGGAGATGAACTTGTTACCCCCTCTCCACAGCGGCAGCGTAGCCCACCAAGGAGAGACATTAAGCTCCCCACCAGCACAGATGGGACCGTGGTCTCTGCGCCCAAGCTACAGGGAGTACGGACAGCTGGTCCGGCTCCCCAGCGGCAGAGTATTCTACCAGGAGGGGAGAATACTTCCCAGCGGCGGCCTAGTCCACCAAGGGGAGATGAGAAGCCCCACAACTGTGTGAATGGGACCATGGTCTCTGCACTTACAGCACAGGGGGTAGGGAAGGTCGGTTCTGGCCCCCAGCGACAGGGCTGTTTAGCCAAAGGGGAGACAGTCGGTCTCCCCCTCCAGCAACCAGGCTCCAACCAGACTACTTCCGTGGTAGTGCTGGCATCAGGACAGAGTACCGCTGGGCTCTGCCCACTCAGCAACCCACCCAGTCCGCTTACCAGTCACCTACACAGCCATGGTGAGGCGCCTGGACATGGACAACGTTCTCCTCTACCCAGGTGTAGTAACCAGTTCTTGTGGGTGGGCTGTATTACTGATTGTGTTTTGTGGGTGGGCTGCTGGACTAACAAGGGCACTGACCGACATGAAGTCAGATACCCTGTTAGTCTGATTGGTAAAGGGGAGAAGTGTGGCGAAACCAACCTCACCACTGTACACTGGAGAAGCCTGGTTGCTTGCCTGCTCCCTTTAGACTATGGTCCTGCATTTTAAACTTTTATTTTACCGGCAGAAAGGTTTATTCATGCCTTTCTGCGGACTGTTAAAGCCATGCTACCCCAGATAGCTATGCCATGGAGCCCAGCCGTATACTGAAAGACTGTATGAAAGACTTGGCTCCGTGGCGATTAAACTGTATTCGTGTGGTCTGAGCGCCATAATAATGTGCGCTCAGACCTGAGCTATCTGGATTAATGTAGAACGTATATGTTTTATGGAATAATTGTAACTGTATGTAATTTTATGTCTTTTATTGTCCTTTGTCTGCCATGTGGTTAATGGAGTTTTGCCTCTGTCCTTGGAGATAATTTGATTACTTCACAATTATCTCTAGGACAGAGAGGAGGGATTGTGATGTAATTGTGGGTGTGTTTTACGGTTCCCCTGTAACGATTGGTTGTACTGTGTCCCACCCTGTGGGATGTCCCCTTG